TGTGTGTGTGTGTGTGCGCGCGCGCGCGCGCGTGTATTTTATAATGTATTTTGTTGCTTTACCTGTGGAATAATATTTTTAGCATTTCTGTATAAATTGGAATCTTTGAAAACTGCAGCATCATGAGTATTTCCAGAGTGCCGAATACAAATATTTCTAAATCTGTATATAATATATAAGAGTAATTAATTATTTATGACCACTTATTTAACTATTATTAATATAAATTAACCAATAAATAACGTATACCTGCATTTGTCATCGACAACTGCTTGTAAATTAAAGGAAGGCCAATCCTTACGGTTAACGTAGTCTCGATAACCCTCTGATGGTGCTAATATTGGTATATGTGAACCATCGATGCATCCGATAATTTGCGGTATGTGGGAAATTCTCTCGAAACGTAATGCTATTTCAGAAACTTCAATTTCATTTGGCATTTGCAAAAATTCTGGCATAAGAAATTCATTGATCGCATTTACAACTCTATATAAACATTTTTTCACAGTGGTATATACTTATGTATGCCAAATACATTTCCAACTACCCGATACTCTGCGCAACTTGCCAATTTATACAATGCAACAGCAACTTGTTTTTGAACAGATAATGGTTCTCTTGATTTTAAGAAAAGAGGTTTTGGCTCCAAATGCGGTTGCAATAATAAACACAAATAATCAAATGTATCCTTTCGCATTCGAAAAGTTTCTATCCAATCTGATTCAGTATACGTCTTCAATACAATTTCACTCCAGAAATGGTTACTTCTCGGTTTCATCCATATACTTCTTTGATCTTTTATTGCGTTTAAATAAGTTTCTACGATGTTATTTATCGGTAATGTACGTATATAATACGTAAGCATTGTCATTTGGAGCTTTTGCAGATATTTAATTCTTTCCCACATCTGTTTTCTTTTACGCAGAATTTTTATGGAGACACAATGTCTTCTTCTATTATTTTCAAAAATAAATTGATGATAAAATTGCATATATTGTTCGGATGCCATTATAACCATCAAACTAATTATTTAATAATCAAAAACATTAAATGTCAGATTCGCGATTTGAATTTAGCGCTAAAACCGCAAAATACTTCAGGTCGCTTACGGTGACCTATCTTGGGTCGCTTAATAGGCCAGGCCGCGTATAGGTCTCTCGGTGTAAACGTAGCCAATGAATTTTGACGCTTCGTTAATTTGTAGCGAAAATATACGAGAATTTCTAATTTAATCCGACGCGATCGCGAGACGCTTCCAATATTTGATTTTTTTTCACTGTATCACTTGCAGAGTCAGTTAATTGAAATACTCACATACGCGAGAGGTTCCTCAGAATAGACGACAGGTCTCTGTCGCGTCCACTAACATCTGATAGGGTTTCCGCGGGACCGTCTCTCTTCCCGAATCCGATCGCCGTGGAGATGTATTCCGGTTTGAAGCCGCGAATCTCTCTCAGCTTCGTCCGATGTTTAAAGAAATGAGGGTACTTGCTACCCTTAGTCGCGGTCGCTACGATAAAAGATCCCGCGACGAACATCAATGCGATCGCTAACGCCATCCGCATGATTTTCTGAGGCAAAAAAAGAGATACAACGAACGCGATAATGAATGTTCACAATAAATAAAAAAATTAATATATAATTATTATATATGTCTATATTTTTTAATTACAGTTTTCCATTGCGTGGAAGTTCATATTCGTCATTAATACGTTTCGATCGAGCGACACGTATTTCTTAATTCTTACAAGATATGAACTTCTTACGAGATCTTGCCAAAATGTCGGAACATTTGCGTATAATATTGATCTACGCAGATGTCATTATTACGTAGATAATCATATCTTAATTAGAATTTATACTTACTGCGATACCACAGAAATCAATTAAGACGCATAATATTTAGATGCATTTTTAGTTTGCATAAATTCCAAAGTTTACCAATATATATTAGTAAAAGTAAAATTATAACTTCTGTTTTCGCTTGGAACGTCCCATTAGTAGAAATCAAAGCATTAAATTATTGAGAACAAAAAGAGATAGATTATATTAGGTCAGATGAATAAAAGAGTTCGATTATATATGTATCTTGAAACGAGATAAAAATGGCAAAAGTGAGCGAATTTGCTAGGATATTTATAATTTTATTAGTGAACACACATAGTAAATTTACTCACTTCTGTAATTTTCATCTCGTTTCAATATACATAATCAACTTCCAGATGTGTGAAATGATAATTTTTTAAATGACTTCCAGGTCGGAAAATATCCAAGTTTCAACACGAAATGCTTTTTATAGATTTTTCAACATAATTTTTTCGCACAATTTAAAAAATAATTTAAATCGCGATTATCTTTTTTACCAGATTTAATTAAATTTTAAAAAATTCAAAACGACGCGATGTGTCCGCATTCAACGCGAAATCGAAAATCGTCGATATACGTGAAACAACGTTTCTAATTTCGATATATTTCTTCCCGTAGGTCCGAGATGATCGGAATAAAATTTTAGCGATACGCGCTGTCTACGTCGGATTCAGATTTTCGATGGTCCCAGAGGAAGAAACGTCGACTTGATTCGTGCGTGTGAAAGCCGAGGACTGGGCTCGGTGACAATTTCGTGTCGCTTTGTACATAGCCGCCGACGTCGGCGTCGCGACCGCCGGCGACACCCGTCGTAGCCGCCATCGACGCTGACGAAGCCGCCAGGCGATCGTACTTTCTATTAATTTCTTTAATACACTCGGCCAATCGATGTTTTATCATCGCATTGAAATCTCCGCCGACGAGATGGCTGCAATCGTAGACGAAAGTACATACAAAGATGTATGTGAGCCAACAAAGATGCAAAGAGGCGCCGAAACCACCGCCGTCGCCGCCGTCGCCGCCGTCGCCGTCGTCGCCGCCGTTTATGCGTCGTCTAGCCGCCAATGCGTATGCGAAATTTCTCTGCAGTATACGACGATCCTTCTCCTGAGGACACTTTTCGTGTTGACGATGCGCCACGCCCATGCTTTTACTTAATTCACATCGTAAACTACATTCGCCGCATGCGATTTTTTGCGAGCGTTAGATCTGGCCGATGATAAATTAAAAAAGGAGGCGTAATTAAATTGAGCAAATAAATTGTAATTTCCTAAGTGGTCGAACTTTTCAATTACGAGGAATTCTATGCGGTATATTTCTGCGAAGCGTAAATTGATTAACACGATCCTTTCAATCTTCTTTTTATTTACACAAAATATATATACGTCTTTATAATATAGGAATATATATGTATATAATAATGTATAACATGATCATTTACAATATGTAATATTATTTCATGAGTTGCGGACGCAGCGTCATTTTGTCATTTTGACCAAGGAGTGATCTAAAACGATGACAGGTATTTCTTTAAGAATAAGAGAACGTGGAATGCCAGAATATTTAATAAAAAGCTCCAAAAAATGAAGATTAATAGCTCCTTCGGTTTCTGCATCACCTCCCGCTTTTATACTGAAAAAAACATTCCCGTGTTAGTAATACCTATCTCAAGCAATGTTGTATTGTTACGTCTACAATATTAAGATTATAAATTTATGCTTACCTCTCTACAGTGACAAACGACAGGACGTACATGCAAAGATATTTTACGTAATGGTTCATCACAGAAATGTGAAATTGACGAAGAATCGTTTGTATTCCTATGGCAAATATCACAGCGTCAACGGGATCTTGATATTTCTTGCTTAACAGACTTGCTACAATAAGTCAAATGTTTGTAAACGTTACTTATTTCATTACAAAATGTAATTGTATATATATTGTATATATATATATATATATATATATATAAATATATATTACGATATAATTATACCTGTATTTTTGCAGTAGAATAATTTATTCAATTGCGACACCGTAAATAGGAAAATAATAATAGCTATATTATCCATCTTTGGTGGCTTGATATAAACTTTATTATGTGGATCACTGATGCCAGCCCAGTCCAATCGCATGCTAAGTTCATGAAGTAATTCGCTTTTTTCCGGCTCGGTCTCATTGTTGATATTATCTTTTTTCGCTATCTCGCATAAAACGGCCCTACAAAAGAATTAAAAAAGAATTAAAAGAAATCGCAAAATTGTAAATTAATTTCTACGTACGTATTCAATGTTCGAAGCGCTGCTTCCATATGCTTCGCTTCAAATTTGCACGCAGTGTTTAGTTCATACGCTATTTTTTTTCTCAGTAATTGGTAGTGACCTATTTTTAATGTCCACTCAAGCGCTGATGACCACAATTTGCTACTGCTAGCGTTTATAGAATTGTGAAGTTTCGTAATGTTACCTAAGGCACATACGCGATACTTTATGTAAATACATGTTAATTATCCTTATTTTCGTTACATGTGTATATTTTTATAATGCGAATTCTTACTTTTAGCACTATCTAAAGAATTTAAAGTGGTCTCACAATCTTCTAATAACGATAGCCACGTTTTGTTCCGTATACTCTTTTCTATATAGTGAACTAAAGCTTCCAGTTCTATGACAATGAAGAAGGAGATAAGCTTGTCCAGTCCCGATAATCCTGGCGTGCCTATGGTTTCTAATATCACCGAGAAAACCTTGTAATTTAAGACCTCATTCTGCGTTTTAATGTCATACCATGCTAGAGAATGTTCTATGTACACGATGGTTCTGAAAAGACATAAGCCTATTAGAGACGTAGTACAATTTTTTTATAAGAGCGAAATCGAAATAGAAATAACGTAATACCGTGGATCAGTAATACGGATAAGCTCTCTGGCAAGTCTACCCATGAATGTTAAGGAGCTACTATCGATTGAAAAGGCGTGCTTATCTTCTTGAAATTGTCTCCATGATTTTCCTGGCACCCAGGAAGAACCCCTACGTTCTTCTTCAACGGCATTGTTTATAATATATGTGATCTAAGGATGCGCATATTTAGAATAGAATTTACGAGCATATGAAAACATTTTTGTGTAACTTATATCAGAAATCATATAATCATATAATTCTCTCACTTCTTCATGCCATATCTTCAAACTGTTTATGTTAATATAATCCTGAATATATTGAAAAGATTTTCTGTATCCATCCATAATTGAGGATAAATGATTCAGTTTTTGTAGAAGAGATGTCTAAAAAAATATTTGCAACAATTATTAGGTATATAATCTTAGAAAAAAAATTTATTGTTTATCGGAATTTACCTTAGACTTTTGATCAAAGTTGAGGCCATTCTGTAAAGCCAAAGTAACTTTCTTAACGAGCTCCTGACGTATACCATCTTCTAAGAGACGATGTGAATCAACCCTCAAAACTCCTAAAGAAACACTTCTTAATGACAGAACACCCTTTGTGAAAACCGATACAGCATATGTTAATTTTGCCATCTATAAAAATAATAATATAACACAATGTTGCTTTCTTTTAAATAAACACAATATAATGAGAATTATTTCTAATGGTGTACCTGTAGTCTTTGAGCCAGTTGTGCATAATCTTTAAGTTTATCTTTGGGTAATTTAGTCGGGATTTCTTTAAATGAATTTGTTTCAAGATGCACTATCTCTGCCAACAAACCGAACACAGTTTCGGGTATAATTTGCAAAACACGCCTTGCATATCCCTCCAGTTCTCTGCTATAATACTGGGACACGGAGGACAAATCCGCACTTCGTGCTTGATTTACCCTCAGCAATGGAGTTTCCAATGCTGATGCCATCTAAAAATAATGTAATGTATAAAGCATGTAATGTATGTAGGTCATATGATTTTAATTGCTTGCATATTTACTTTAAGGAAAAGTGCTTTTAGTTTGATAACGGTTGGTGGATTTCCCTTTATGCTCTCCTGCATTACATCGATAAAAGATTCCATAATGTTCCATGCATAGCAACAATCGGTTACGATATTTAAATTTATCATGATATCTTCAGATATGCTGCCTGTACGCAACATATTGTGTAGAGTTTCGCGTGTATCAGCGAGATATTGTGAAATGTGTAGATTATTTTCTAATTGATGAAATTCTGGGGGAAAAAAAATCATAAGATATTATAGTATATTACAAATGTTTATATAGATTTACTTTAGACAGAAAAAATAATGTAATTGATTTACGATTCTTTACCCTGAACTTGTTCCAATGCTTGCAATAATTGCACTATTTTTCGCCCATCTTCTTGCTTTAATGAATCAATGTGTTTACTTATTTCTATGAACCATGTATAAAGATTTTGATTTTTATCAATACCATCTAGAGGTTTGGCGCCACCAAAAATTTGTGCAAGATCAGTTATACGTTCGACGCATATTCCTTTGTCCTTCAACCATTTGGCTTCTTTTCCAAGCAAGAGCTAATGTAAAAAAAATTTATATTAATCACAAACAAATATACACATCGCAATGAAAAAGAATGATCTTAAACATACATCTTTATACATCTGTTTAACATCCTGTTCAATTTGAGCAGTGCTTAGTAATAAACGAAGACATTTTACTGTGGTATATTTGCTTTCCATCACGACCAATTGACGTAGAGTACGCAAACGTTTTGAATCCTCTAATGTTATGGTGGGCGTAGCAGTGTGAAGAAGAATCCAATGCAACGTAACATTGCATTCTCTCACTAATTTGACTAAAGAACCTGTCGCATTTTCATCCAATGTGCCTGCCAACTGTACCTCGTCGGTTTCTTGTATTAATTTCTGGAATATTTTCTCTATGTAAAATTGTAGTTTTATATAAAGACTCCATGAAAAATTCTTATAAACTTACATCCATTTTTGCTCCATATTTTTGGGCAATTCCTTTCACATTAGAATTCTCGAGTGTATTATTCAACGCTGTTCGTGCAGCTTTATACGGTGACCACCAATCACATAGACTGATCACTGTTCCCATATAAATACTAATTACCCAATTATCGGGAAAGAATCTGTCTACTATTTCCCTCATAATGGCAGTTTGTATATGTAGTACAGTTGATTTAAATGACAAAATTATAACTAACATTGATGCTTGCGTGGCCATGGCAGTGCTGCGATGCTCTGGATGCGGAAAAGCAAGAGTCTGATTATAAATCTCATCTGAACGCAATCGACCAATAACCAGATCTACCAAAAAATCTCGCAGTGGTACTCTCCTAAAAAAAATTTTTTTTTTTAATATTCTGTTATAATTTCCCTAAAAATTTTAGTTATATTTTAAAATCAATTGCATTATCTTTTCTTTTATGTTCCAATTATGTTACATACTTGAAATATTCTTCGGGATAATTAGCTGGTCTTTTGGACAGTGTTCTCACATATCCTGTTGAACGGAGCAACATACAGATATCATCCACTCTTGTCGAGGAAGACCGTTGAGCATTGTATCGGTAATAGGACACAAGTAATCTTTCACGTATTCGTCCTTCAAAATGGTAATCAACCAGCAACAGCATCACACCATATAAGTATACTGCTTCGCACTACACAAAAATTTCATTGTCTTATATTAGTTTATCTGTATATTCATATAACATTGATTTCTCTGTTAAACAAATTGATGTAAGCATGTTTACAAAAAAAGAGAAATGTACCATTAATTGTTTTCCCTCTTCATTGAACATAATAGAATCCACTGACTGATGTATATAAACTCCATCTCCCAATTCATCAATGTAAAAATTCAGGTCTGTGACATACTTGTGTATACTCTCAAAAGCCAAATAAAACCTTGTAAGTATGTCTGAAAAATTATTCCGGAGTTCTTCATCAGTTTCTTGGAGTATCTAAAAAAAAATGCAGATAGAATTTAGGAATGTGTTTGCCTGTTTTCAACAATAATATACTCTCATTAAAATTGCAAAAAATGTTAGTATTTACCGAATCATCTTCTATTTTTTGCTCATAAACACTGGCTGCCTTGAAGTATGCAAAGTCAATTATAATAGACCCATATTTCTGTATCAGTTGCTTTGAATCCAAGCTGCAAAAACAGCAGTAATCAAATGTAATGTTTATATAATATTATAATATATAATATTAAAGTTTTTATATCTATATAAATTTTTACAAATTTATATTCATTTAACAAAGTTTACATATTACAATTAAATCAAAACATCTTTGCAATACATTACCATCAGCTGTAATGTAACATAAATATTTACCCTATTAATTAATTAACAAGATACTTTTTTTTCTTAATAAACTGACCTAAAGACCGGCGGTACATAATCCTTCAATCGCATTAGTTCAGCTATGATAGCATTCCCACGGGATACCAGTCGCAACAAGTTTTGTCCGCATACATTATTGGCCGCTAAAAAGTCGCTCATTTTTTTTCAGATGATTTTAACAATCATCTCAAAACGGACAATTGCTCATCAGCCTTTTGACAGAAGTATTTGATATCTGATCAGCCTCTCTCTTCCAGCTGAAATCCGTTGTTTACCGTCAGTCGCTCGTTTGGTCTTCGACTTCTTATTTCAGCCGCAATATGTCGAGAGGACGCGCGATGAATTTTTGATATATGGACGCCTTTTTGTATATACGTACGATTCTACAATTTTCACTAATTTTCACTTGATAGAGTCTCGCTTTAAAATTTTTTAAAGTAAGGTCGATCTTGACACTTTGAGCATTGAAGAAATCTGATTGTATTGACCTCCAAAGAAGTTTTACAGGAAGGCAGGTAAAGAAGAAAAAGAAGATAGCGTCTCGTTGTATCTCTTGATCTCTTTCGGCATGTCGTGACTGAGAAAGGATACAGATCAATACCCTGAGTTTACGATTATACAGGAGAGCCACACTTCTGTAGGATGCAAAATCACCGCGAAATATTTGGCTCGTCACACGTCTTCGTCCCCGCGATGCCCTGATAGTCGAATGTGACGGCAAGCTTCTCGGATTCGGCGAGCCTTCTTGGCGAATATCGTCGTGAACCAAGCTTGTAAGGTTTCGAAAAATAGATTCAAAACCCCTGAAGACTGATGCCATGCTCACTGGTTACCGAAATTTCTCGATGTTGATTTGATCGACTCGGTAACGTCTTTTCCACATTTAGAATGGAGGTATGAGCTTATACTAGTATCGGTTTCTTTATTAATGTAACTTTACTCTTAGTTCAACTTATTCTTCATCTTTTTCTAATTTTTAAAACTAAAAAAAAAAGATGAAGTTAAATAACCCGAGATTGAAATTAAACTAAATTGGTAGACACAAGCATTATTAGAACAAAAAAAATTGAAAAGTTGAACCAGATCAAAATTAATCTTTTATTGATGGAATCAAGTTTATAAAGAACAGATCTATGTCTATTTCTACCAATGTACTTTTAATTTTAATCTTGGTTCAACTATTTAGAACAATTTTTATAGGTAAATTTGATTATAATATAATTTGTTCTCTGTTTATAGTCAAGTGGTAAAGTTCCTTTGCCATTAGAACCCATAAAAGCAAATCAGGTTGAAGACAGACGCCTATGGGTGGGCAATTTAGATTTAAGAATTAATGAGTAAGTATTTATATGATAATAATATTTCTTTTAAAGATTTTTGTAACATCTTGGCAAACTTGATGTTGATAAGAGGTGTTTTGCATTAGAACAGTGATGCACAATCGTTTTTAAAGGTCATTTTCAGAGGATTATTTTTTGAAATAGGTAAATCTTTTGGGACCTATAATGTTTATTTCGTTCGCTTATACATATATAAAATAAAAATGATTTTATATTTTTTATTATGAGAGCTACATGAGGTTGTGCATCATTGCATTAGAACATTAAAATTGGAAGAGAAAAACTAATGCTCTTTTTGTCAACCGGTACCAACTCCTGAAACTTGTCCAAAAATACGGCACAATCGAAAAGTTTGACCTGCTATTTCATCGATCGGGACCTCAAGCCGGTCAGCCAAGAGGCTATGCATTTGTTACTTACAAAACGATTCAAGATGCTATAAGGGCGAAAGATGCTTTACATAACTTGAAAGTTGGAGCTAAGAATATTATCGTTAGATGGGCGCACAGTGTCACTGAGGTACAATATGTTCATGTGTTATAATTGTTAAAGTTTAAATAAATTAAAACTTTAATTCTAATATAACGCATTGTACAATATTTTATGAATTGCATAACTTTATAACTATAAGTATTAATTTTGAATAACTTAATTTTGAAAAACTTACAAAAAATAATTGTTGTTTAGTTGGACATGGATAAACCAAAACCAAAGATTGAGATTCCTGCCTTAGCTGGTGCAAAGAAAGAAGATAAAAAGATCAGGTATAATTTTGTACTTTTATCAAATAATAGTTAGAAAAAAATAAACAGTATTTTAATTGAAATTTGCAATTTTCCTGCAGTCGTGAAACAGCAATTCAAGCGATTGAAGCAAAACTCAAGTTGATGAAAGAATCAGAAGAAGAGTTCGAATTGAATAAACCATTGGAAGGATCGCCAATTATACAACTCTATCAAAAAGTAGAAAATCAAAAACCGTCCACCTCTACACGTTATCATAGCCGTGGAAGGTGCTACCATCACAACAAGCCATACAGTCGCCATAAGCCAAGAAGATAATTCACGTATATTTCATCTACATTTTTATCAACTATCATTATTATAAGTTTATATTATTTATAACGCAATGCCTACTTATTTAATATCGTTTTAATGAAAATATTTTGTTTTTGTGTGTATAAAGAAATTTTATATGTATTTTCGTGTTGTTGAAACCACGTATCCATCAAAGAAACAGGGCAACATTTATGTTTCTATTGCCTGTAAAAATTCCAGTATATTTCTCAATGTTCCTCATTGTCGCCAAAAATACAAGAAACATTAGAACTACGACTGTTTCAAATTCGTCTGCGATGTAATGCTTTTAATATGTACGTCAATGTACATGTATTTTCGTAATATATGGAAATCTATTTTATAGCAAACATGACATGCTTTGGAATAAGATGCAAAGTGTACAAGTTATTGTTCCATTGTTCATATTTTTGGATATAGATCACACATGTACGTACATGTAATAGAATTATAATGCAAGTGTAACAAGAATTTTCAACAACTATAGTTTGTTTAATCTTTATTCAGTAATCGCTCTATTATTATCTTTCCACGCATGTGATCTGGCAATGGTACTATACCAGGACATGGCACTTGTCCTGGGATATGACATATACAACTCCTATCGCAACCAACTCCGAAATTTGCTGGATTAGCCTTCTTTTCTTGAGCTATAGCTTCGTTTTTCAATACATTCAGCGGTTTTCCTACCACTCTTAAGAGATGATCAAGTATCTCATCCTTTGATTTGCTGTCTACATCTATTAACATCGTCTTACCATCCGCTGTAAAATATATAAATCTTTTGTATCGTCACCGACGAAATACTATTAAAGACCGACATCCTTATGGGAGTTCGCGTCCTTGTGAATATTGAAGTGATTAAGAGTTAAAAACTGATAATATTGTACTAATTTTATGATTTATTAGTTTAGTAGATGTA